GGCTCAGCACCCCCAGGCACAGCACTCCCAGACTCGGCACCTCCAGGCTCAGCACCCCCAGGCACAGCACCCCCAGGCTCAGCACCCCCAGGCTCAGCACCCCCAGACTCGGCACCTCCAGGCTCAGCACCCCCAGACTCGGCACCTCCAGGCTCTGCACCCCCAGACTCCGCACCCCCAGGTCCAGCACCCCCAGGCTCAGCACCCCCAGCAGCACCAGAGTCACCAGTGACCTCGACAGGCTCGACCGCGTCTACCTGGGACACACCTGAAGGGGCAGGACCCTGAGGGGGGAGGGGGACTACCGGGGGGGGACCTGGTACCAAGAAGAGCGGGGGTGGGGGGAGGGACGGAGTGCGGTAGGGGAAGAGGCGGTAGTAGGGTACCGACTCGTCGAACGTGACGTCCTGGGAGGACAGAACACGTCGAGAGGTGGGGTGGTAAAACTGCCACCCAGGGGCGTCGGGGGGGAACCCCAGGAAGACGCAGGGAGAAGCACGAGGGGACAGCTTGTCCGCAGACAGGTCGCGAACAAACGCCCGAGATCCCCAGACCCGGAACGCCGACGCATCGCCAACCTTCCCCGTCCACAGCAGGGCTGGGGAGGTCTCCGGTCGAGAGACCCTGGGGTGGAGGTTGATCTGGTGCGCAGCGTAACTGACCGCAAACGGCCACAGAAAATGGGGAGCAGCCGCATGCATCATGGACGTACGAGCGACGTCCATGACCATGCCAATGCGGCGCTCAGCAATCCCATTCTGCTGTGGTGAGTCCGGAAGCGTGAAGGTCTGACGGATGCCTCGCGCACGACAGTAGGCACTCAGGAGGCCAGAGGAGAACTCTCCGCCTCTGTCCGAGTGCAGACGTAAAACAGGGAAGTCAGAGCCAAAGCTCCTCCGAAGCTGGAGACGAGCTGCGCGGATCCAGTCGATCAACACCTCAGTGACCTCACCCTTGCTGCGCAAGGGGAAGACTGTGGTGTAACGCGAGTAGTCGTCAACCACCAGCAGGAAGTAGCGCTCCTGACCCTGTCCACGGACGCGGGCTGGGCCCCACACGTCCATGTGAAGCGTCTGCAACGGGGCCTCTGTCGGAGGAAACTGGGAGGAGTGAGGGGCAGCACGCTGGCGCCCCTCGACACAGGGGACACAGGTGGGGCCAGGGCCCGGAGGAAGGGGAGGGAGAGACCGGGGAAGACCAGACACAAGGACTCGCGAGGCCATGCCTCTGAGCCGAAGCAGAGAGGGGTGGCCAAGGCGGTGGTGCCAGAGGAGGGTCTCGTGAGACAGACGACGACACGAGCAGGGGGCAGACTCAGGACCAGACCTGGACGCTGCAGCAAACACCTGACCAGACGAAGGGACCCTACCAGACTCAGCACCTGGAGGAGAAGCAGTGGTCAGTGTGTAGAGGCTCGACCCTGGCCGACGTGTAAACGTAGCCAGGTGGCGACCTGTATCCGCCTCCGTGCAGTGGGTCACCCGCTGACGAGCAGGGGTGAACTGGTGGACACCCGCATCCTGGAGGTCAGCACCACTCACCAAGTTCGTCGAGAACGAGGGGAGGTAGAGACCAGTCAGGGTGCCAGAGGGGGCCGCCGGACACGGGAGGACAGTGGAGAAGCGAGACAGGACAGGCCCCCCAGAGGGGTCAGCCAGGGACACCGCAACCGGCCGACTGAGCGGCGTGAGAGTGGTGCGGTCCCTAAAGAAGGAGCGAGACGCTCCAGAGTCAAGGGTGAAGGTGTGAGAGGCCGAAGCCGACACAGTACCTGAGAGGGCAGACTCATCAGTACCTGAGAGCACAGACGCACTGGCACCTAGAGCAGCAGCCTCACTAGTACCTGACGCGGCAGTACCAATGCCCGGGTCGGGCGGGAAACACCGGTAACAGTCATCCTCATCACTACCAGTCACAGCATACATAGCAGAGAGAATAGCATCAAAATCAAGATCATAAACAGTCCTAGACAGCTCTCCCCAGCGGGGGATCTCAGCGGCCTCCGGAAACTGCTGACGCCAGGCGTCGGTCAGGCGGCCAAAGCAGCGGCGGGCTGTGTGGGCGCCTCCACACCTCTCCCATGCACGGTCACCTGTGCGAAGAACGTAGGGGCAGGGACCAAGCGCACCACCACGCTGACGCTGCAAGTACCACTCACGAAGCTGCTGAGGGCCGGGGACGGTGCGAGAGCGCTGCTGCTGCTGTGGCTGCTGCTGCGGCTGCTGCTGCTGCTGCTGGCGCTGACCACCCCCAGAGCTGCTCCGCTGGGACGAGCCACTCCGACCCCCGCCTCCACCGCCACCCCCGCCTCCACCGCCACCCCCGTCTCCACCGCCACCTCCCCCACCAGGACCGTCGCTCCCACCGCTCCCACCGCCTCCTCCGCTACCACCTCCGCCGCCACCTCCGCCTCCACCGCCGCCACCAGTACCTCCACTCCCGCCACGACCCCCACCGCCACCCCCACTCCCCCCGCCACCCCCACCGCCTCCTCCACCGCCCCCTCTAGCTCCACCCGCTCCCTTGCCCCCTTTGCCCTTGCCAGAGCGGCGTCTGCCGCTGGGGGCAGACGCCGCGCCGACCGACTCAAAACCAGTGAGGTCGGCCGCAGCGGCAGAGGCGACAGAGGGCAGCAGGGGGGAAGGACCACACCCCTCAAAGATGGGGGTGCGAGGGTCACCCCGAGAGGCCCCTACAGCGACAATACTCTTCTCAGCCGCTAGCAGGGACTCCTCAAGGAGATCGACAGTGAGAGTGGTGGGACAGACAGAGAGAAACTGGTCCCTAACGGCACGAAGGGACTCAGGGAGACGGGTGACGAGAAAGTAGAGAGTGATGTACATGGGAGGAGGGTTCGCAGCGCGGAACTCAGCAGGAAGGGCAGCGCGGTAGCGGGTGTCACTAGCACGGAGGTGGGTAACGAGGTCAGCAACAGTGGGAAAGGAGGCGAGGTCAGGGAAGAGAAACGGTAGCATGAGGCGGCTAAGGGTAGCGGAGGAAGGGGAGGAGTAGCGTGCAACTACAGCGTCGTACAAGGCCTGAGCGGTCTTGCACTGACTAAAGTGGGCACGCTCAGAGGAAGGGAGGTGGCGACGCACAGCAAGACGTGCAGCAGCATCGCGGGTCGCCCACTTGGAGCGAACGGCAGAGTCAGCATCAGCAGGTGGGGCAGGGACAGCGCCAGAGACAAAGTCAAAGAGAGAGACCTCATCTATCGCATCACATAGTAAGTACAGCTGCAGGTCTTCAATCCAGACGGCAAAGTCAATGGCCCTCCCCTCAGCGTCAAAAGTAAGGACATTGGGGGTGGCCATGGCAGCAGCTGAAAGTCTCACCGGGCTGGGAGAGTCGGGTAGTGCAGCAGCAGAGGAACACAGCTCTGGAACAGCGGCACGGCTCGGGCGGCTCGGGTTGCTGGGGCGGCGCGGGCGGCTCGGGCGGCTCGGGCGGCTCGGGCGGCTCGGGCGGCTCGGGCGGCTCGGGCGGCTCGGGCGGCTCACGCGGCTCGGGCGGCTCGGGCGGCTCGGGCTGCTGGGGCGCGCGGGCGGCTCGGGCGGCTCGGGCTGCTGGGCTGTACGGGCGGCTCGTGCGGCGCTGGTGTCGCGACGGGCGGCTCACTGGCGGCTCGCGGGCGGCTGCACACGCGGCTCAGGGACGGCGGCGCGGGCGGCTCAGGGAGCTCACGGGCGGCTGCGACGGGCGGCTCGCGGGCGTCGGGCGCTAGGGCGTTGGGGCGACGGCGGGCGGCGCTCAGGCGTTCGGGCGGGCGGCCGTAAGGGTGAAAGGGCGGGCGGCGCTCGGGCGCTAGGGCGGGCGGCCGGCCGTCAGGGCGCTCGGGCGAGTGGCGCACGGGCGCTAGGGCGGGCGGCCGTCAGGGCGCTAGGGCGAGCGGCGCTCGGGCGCTAGGGCGGGCGGCCGTCAGGGCTCTAGGGCGGGCGGCGCTCGGGCGCTAGGGCGGGCGGCGCTCGGGCGCTAGGGCGGGCGGCGCTCGGGCGCTGGGGCGGGCGGCCGTCTGGGCGCTAGGGCGGGCGGCCGTCAGGGCGCTAGGGCGGTTGGCGCTCGGGCGCTAGGGCGGACGGCCGTCAGGGCGCTAGGGCGGGCGGCCGTCAGGGCGCTACGGCGGGCGGCCGTAAGAGGAGGGAGCAGCGGGAGCGCGACGGTAGGGGCGACACGCAGGGTCGCTAAAAAAAAGAACGCGCGCCTCGGGGCGCGCTTCGGTGGGCCCTAGGAACAGTCCCTAGGAGGGGACCTGCTCTGATTCCATGAGAAGAATTGAACGAGAATGAAATGAGTATGAACGAAGTGGGTACAAATAGGAAACCCTAATTGTGTTGTACCCCCTATGGGATACCCCACTATAGCCTACACAAACAAGTAAGCTATATGTTCTGACATCTCTCAGTCTAGTGTTCGAGCAAATCCTCAACTGTACAGTCAAGACGCTGCTGGGATCCATGGCCCCTGCAGCTCCTTTCTACGCAGTCACCATCTTTCGCTTCCCCATCTACGAGTTCCCCCCGTGCACCAACGTATACACGGTGTATCCGCCTGTTGTAGACCACTTTCTGCGCACGGGCGAACGTGCTGCTATGCCCCCGGTTTTGTTCCCGACTCAACACATTGGGTAAGGTCCGTTCCGTTCCGTTGCTCTTCCCGTGTACTCTCCCGTGCTCTTTCTCGGTCTCCTGCACACTCTGTCCCGCTGTTTTCTCCTCTCCGGCTTCGCCTCGGCATGTGTCGTCACACTTGGCCGTTTGACAGTTCCTGTTCATTCCCGTCTCCCATGTTTGCCATTGCATTATACCGATCAATGTAGGCCGCATGCGCATTTTATTCCATCCCCCTCCTCATTCCGCGAGCCCTACTGTCCTCCTTTTCTGCTCTCCCCACACTCTGCCTCCCTCCCTCCTTAATTAAATCTCCATCTGTCCGTTCTCTGACCTCTTCTCTACACCATACCACTACATTCCACTGTTAATTCCCACCCATGTTTCCCACCAATGTACGGCATCCCCATCGTGCGCTCACCATTCACCACGCATGTTACCATGGAGCAAGGGAGAGCGAAGATGGCCGGATTCATTGCCGGGGCAATTGATACGGAGACGCTCATCTCGCACGCCCTTATGGACGTGCTCAACCAGAGAGAGTCTGG